TTAACGGCTTGTTCACAAATTGATGCCGGGCTCCTTGGTGGCTGCAGCAGGAGCATTAAATGGCACTGAAATATTCATATGTGAGTGCATTTAGCTGAGTGCAGCTGATGGACAGCTCCCAGGAGGGGCCACAGGGAAGTGCTGCTGGGCTCCGATCCCTTACCCACACGTAGACCCTCATGCCCTGTTTTGTCAGAGCTCAGAGCTCTCTAAGAAAGCATCCAGCATGATCAGTGAAGTTCAACTCTTTTACAGTGTGTCTAGTTGTGAGACCGTTTGTTTGCATGTATTCCCAGATGGTTTATTGTGGGGTCACACAATGATCACAGGGTTAATATAATGAAGAATATCTTTATTGATAACATTTAGCAGCATAAAATAATTATTCTTGGAAACAACAAGTTATTAAACTATACAAATATTTTCTGTTTGACAAATGTAAGCAAAATAAAAATGTGGTTTTGAAAACCCAAAATATACATTTATTTTATACATTTATTTATTAGCTCATTGATTTATTTTTATTCTATCTATCTATCTATCTATCTATCTATCTATCTATCTGTCTGTCTGTCTGTCTGTCTGTCTGTCTGCCTTATCTATAACAAATATAAATAAAATATACAAATATACAATAAAATATACATTTAATGTAATTTTGAGATCATGGGTATTAAATTTGTTAAATTTAATAAATGAATGATTAAAATAATGGCAATCAAAAACATTTTTATATACAATTTTCCAAATTTCATTTTTTTTTGTAACTCTCATTTTGTCATTTTTGTAAAGTATTCTTGTCTGTCTCAATGGTTCATTCCGTTTCATAGTCCAGTGTGTTTTAATTGCATCTTAATCATACACTTAACTTTATCTTAATCAATCACACAGAAAAAGAAATGTGCAAAAATTTCACTTTTAGGGATACAACAGCTTGTCAATGGGGAAGTACACTCAGAGATATCTTATTCAATGTTAAAAGGTTCATATAGTACATTAAGAGTACATATTAATAATCAAAGGTACTACATTTTATGGATTGTTGTACCCCCAAAAGGTACAGTTTTTGCACATTTTTTCCCACAGTGTCAGACTTCTCCTGTCCCTCTGACTAAATCCAGCTTTCCTAGTCTCCCAGCTTTGCTCTGTGTCTGACCCAGTTCTTCTACAGAAAGTAGAGGCTAAAATCCATCCAGCGGAAAACTTTTATGTTAATGCAAAGTGTAGAAAACTCCTCTGTAGCCATGGTAACAGTCTATGGAGTAGATGCCTTCAGCCGAGTAATTTCCCTTCACTGGGGTGCCATGCACTTAAGAAGAATGTTTTCAAAAAGAAACCCGAGAAGCTTTTTAAAATATGATGTATAATTTATTTGCATTTTTTTCGCCTGGCTCATATCTCTTTGAAAGATGATTTAGGATTGGATGTGGTGGCCATTTGACTACTGTGTGCAATGCTTCAACATCCAGCAATATTCTTGTTTGGGTTACTTGTGTATTGATTTTGCTATGAATCCAGACGTTCAATACTATAAAGAATTCAGAAATTCATTGACTGCAAAGGAATGAATGTTGTCAGCATTTTTAATTATTTGTTCTCTGCAAACATGGAAGCTTTTCAGATGCCAAAAATGCTCCTTTTGGCACTCATTTAAAGCCAACAAGTTTCTAGAGATATGAAAATCTAAAGGAACACACATCAAATTATTTGATGACTGGCTTTATAATATATGAACTGTTGTTTTTCTGCTCATCTCTAGTTATTATCTGAAAGCACATACTACATTTCTGTAGATAATAGCAAATAATAAAGATCCAGAGTGATTTTCTTAGACTACAGCCTAGCCTACTATAAAAAAATCAAATAAAAAATAAAAGATTTTTGATTGTGGTCTTGCAGTTTTAATGGGATTAAAGTCAAAGTTCAAGCGCACAGGTTATGAAAGATCTGAATAATTGAGATCTGTGTCTAATGGTCAGAGCAGGAACTGCTTGTCACATATCTGCACTCAACCCTTTCATTGTTACCCTAACTTACTGTCTCCCTCCATCAGTGTCAAAAGTATCTCAGGGGTAGTTTCAGGTCCAGTTTTCTTCACTTAACAACATTCCATCAAACAAATGAGAGCTGATATGATGAGAATTTATAAAAGCGTACCTACTGAGTGCTACAAGTTTCCTGTGCTATAAAGGGCATTTGTAGGACAGTTGAAAATTGTGTTTATAGTTGCAGACAGCGGAGTCTTGTCTACTATTTTTGAGAAAAACATGAAAATGAAGTGTTCAGAGAGTTGGGACAATAACGGCCTGTGGTTTTATTAAAGTCATGTTTGCAGTATGAATACTGATGATCTGGTTTTAGGCAGAAGTGGTTAATTTGCACTTTGTTGGGGAGACGCACGAGGCCAGCAAAAGAACAGTTTGGTCAGAAACCACAAACACTTGAATGACCCATTCAAGTGTCATTTGAAACACTGAGGTAGTCAGACGAAACATGTAGATTGTCTCCCCAGTGAATTCTCAACTGTCCAATATTCCACCCACCAGTAATGTAGCTCTGCTGAATTATTGAGGCTTTGCATTCATTTGAGAGCTGAATTCAGGGTGTAAGTGTGTGTCCATACATATGGCTTTGATGGCTCTTTTTAAACTCTTAACTCTTTTGATATTTAAGGGGCCTGACCACCCGACATTGCGCTTAAAAGTGCTTCCCTGAATAATTTTTAATGCTACATATGATATTTAATTATACAAATGTAAATATTATTACAATTATTTCAAATGTATTATAAATACCAAGTGTCTTAATTGTTTCTTTCTTTGTCTTATTTTTAATGAGAACCAAGTAACAATTTATTGAAATTATTTTACTATGTAGATAATATGTAATAATGAATATGTATGACTGACTTTTCAGTTGTAAATATATGGTTTGGCTAGGGAACAAAATAGTATCAGTTCTCATTTACCGGCTCTTTGCACAATTAGCAACAGTCTGTCACATTAGCATGTCATGCTTTTAGCTTGTCGTTGTACGTCTGACTTGCATTAAATTAACAACCTTGCGTAAATATTTGAGTACATTTAATTCACAACAAAATTGTGTTGAATTAATAATAGCTAATTAGCGTGATGCTCATTAAAGAAAATCCAGACTAAGTGGGGTGTCATGCTTATGTTGTGACAGTTCCTTGAATGATAATGGAAAAAATCATGGACGTGATACTACAGAACAAACACATCCTTAACATTACGATTTTATTTAGAAATACTAAGAAATGAAAGTTATTACATTGTAAAGGTTTTTTATACATTGGCTGGTGTGTGACAGACACTACACAACAGCAACATCAACTAGCTAAACACTTGCATTTGAGTTATAAATATGTGCACTTTTAGAATTTCAAATCTCTGTTATGTACCTTATAACATAAACACAACGTTTCCCCACTGTATTGCATTAATACTGTTTTTATCAGTCTCACTACAAAATAACCAAACTACTTATGCTAACCTCCATACTGATAACATAATGAGATTCTATCTCAATATTTGTCATATTTATCCATACAGAAAATTACACACTGTAAAAATCTTTTTATTTTTTTTTTTGTAAATAAAGATCAGTGGAGTACATTTGACAATAAAATACCATTTCAGTTTTTCCACTCTAAAATATCACTCTAATTCAAAACTTTCTGTTTTCTTTGCGTTTGTAAAATACTAGCGATTTCTGAAATTGTTTCTCCGTTTTTTTCAGAGGAGATATTAAATTAATATTATATTGTAGGTGTATAGTCTGCTTTCATTCTACATTTCATTCTATAGTCTGTGACATTCTACCCCAAATTTTTGTTTTTCCTCTGTAAATGCCTGACTACATTTTGCACACTTGGGATGTCTAACTCTGAGCAAAGTGGCTCACCCCGTGTGTGACCTACAAAACATTGCTCTTTATGGCAATGGTCCCAAAGCTCAGGTCTGTCTGTCTTGTTTCAGAGTCTGCTCTCAACAGGGAAAGAGTCTTAAAGTGAAGCTGAATGTCTTTACTCCAAGAGACCTGAGGTGACAATGTACAGGTTTAAAAACACCTGCACCCCAGCAGATCCACACTTTTAGTGCACGACGTGATGCCATGTTCCTCCAAAATGTTGTGTTTGTTCCTGAAAGCCAGATTTACCACAATCCCACCGGGGCCTTTTTGAGTGGCAGTGTGTATGGAATGTGACCAAAGAGATTGTGAGGAAGTAAACAGATGTTTTCACTCTTTTTGTGCTGAAGGGACTTTAAAATAACCCTTCACCTGAAAGAGGTTTTCACCTGCTGTGCCATTGTGGCCGTGGGAATTAGTGTGGGACTGAGGGAATTGTACTGCAACCCTAAATGGCTTCAGTTTGCATTAGTCCTGACTGAGTCAGTTCGCTATCTGACCACTGCCCCGATTGAGAGCTGCTCCAGGCTACCAGGCTACCTAACCGCAGGAACAGCCTGTCTGTTGTGATGCGCTCGGCGTTGACATCTAATACACACGCAACAAAGAAAACTGGAGCTCATCACCCTGTGACTAATATCAAATATCATGTTCATCACTAATTTCACAGTAAATAATCGATTTATTTGGGCTTTAGAATTTTAAGATTTAAGTAAATTATTAATTTACTTGGCATTTAGATATTATTTATGGATCATTTTGACTGGAATTACCAAATAAATCCACTGATCGCTTTAATGAAACACTGCTGTTGCACGAGAGCGCCATCTACTGAAGAAATAAGACTGAACGCATCTATGAATTCTTGGATCCTTTTCACAGATTGCAATAATTAATACCGTCAATCTAGTAATTGTAACACTATACTGTGAGTTATATTGTCCTGGCATTAAATTACTACATTTTGTAAACACTATAGAGATGGGGTGTCTAAATTTGACATATTTCTCTCTTTCATCTGCCGTAAATCATTTCTCAGTATTTGTTTCCTCTTTTAGAATGTCAATGGCAATAGGCCTAGTTGATTTTTTATTTTGCTGTTGGAATAAATAGGAACACAAAAGTTACATTTTCCATGTCATATACCGGTAGTTTACTTCTGCGCATGTACACCTTACTAAAAAACGGGTATGGACTGCATCACACTAACCAACAGTTAGTGACATCATTGATTTTATTATATACATGCAGACATAATGGGCCAATAACTGCACGACTCAGCAGCAGGTGCAGATGAAGAAAAAACAATACACCGTCATAAAAAAAAACATGACAGTAGTAAAACTTACTTTCCTTAATGCAAAGCCAAGTATTATCTATATGATCTTAAGAAAGTTGGGAAAAAATATTTGGCAACAACAGTTTAAATCAACCTTCTAAATACTGCAGCAAATATACTGTATATCTCCACAATGCAGGCAAATAGCCCTTTGAAACTTCACTTATCTGTGGACAACACAATGTGTTATTTAGCTAGTGCACAGAATAAATGATTAACCTTTAAAAACTCAACTGAACTGATGAATACAGAAATAGAGGATTACCCTGAAACTGGATTTTTACAGGATTTTGATTGGGACAGGCAGCGTAAATACACTGAAATATTACAAAGAAATTCCACTTTTTCCACTTCTATCCTTTATTATTCCAATACAGACACTAAGAACTGCTAGCAAGTCAGTTGTTGCGCTAAATAGCTAACAGCTATTCTTTCTTTTTTTCTTTCTTTCTTTCGTTGTGAATACTCTTCCTGCAGTTTTGTAGCACTTGCTACTGGACATGACAATTTGGACAGTCAATCTAGGTCAGCAATCAATCTGGAGCACATATTTATGTGTAAAATCAGAAGTGAAGATAGTGGAATTCCCGCCAAAGGCCCATAAGCCGTACCAAGGTTGATGAACGGCTATATCATTAGCCATTCCATCACAATTAGCTAAAAAGTGCCTGAATTTTTCAAACTATTTGTATATAAGGCCTGATCGTTTGACAGATTTCAGTTCTGCTCTACACATAAAAAAAAAAAAAAAAGGTCAAAGTCAAAGGTCAAGGTTTAGCACCATGCCATTCAAACTAAATCCTAATCTTTCTTCAGAACCGTTCTATAAGTAATGACCTTCCCAAACAAGGTGTAAGAGGACACTTCAGTGTTTTCAGACATCAGAATTAGCTTGCTCTCAAAATTGTACCTGCAGGCAGAGTTCAAGTCCCTAAATGTTTTTTGATGTCAAATATCCTCCTGACATCCTGATTTAAGGAAAAAAAGTCAAAAGGAAAGAACCTAGGAGAATTATACCTGATCACCATCAGACCTGCTCTGTTAACTTAAACAAGCAGCTGGTGTCTGTCTTCAAAGATCAAGTTAATAAGGGGATTCCTAGACATTTGCAGTCTCAGTTTTGAGTTCGTGTTAGCCAAAATGCACCAGACTCATGACTGTAGTAAAAGAGTGCTGTAGTCCATCAGAATCTGTCTCGCTCAATGTGTAGCTCTCTTTGACAATACGGTCGCAGCCGATCTCCCCATTGCCAAAGAATCCCAAGAGCGGAATGTTGGAGAAGATCTTGCGGAAAGCAGTGGCCTCCACGTTGCGCTGGCTATTATAGCTTTTGTGGCCGCGACCCACACAGGCAAACATGAAGCCCATGGTGTTTCTCTCTGGGATATTAGCAGCCTTCAGCCGCTGGATAGTGGCCTCTGCTGCTTTTGGGCTGCTTACATCCTGGTCCACCAGCACTGAGGCACCCTGGATCTTGGAGCCACTGAAGGTCAGTCCTACTGCACCAAAAGAGCCTAGAGAACAGCTGCAAACAGACAGAACACATACGAACCTCACTAACGAAGATTAGACTTGTAATAATGTCTGAGACAATAGAGGAAACAAAGTGAGAAAAACAGCTTCCTGTATGTGACACTGAGAAAATGTTACATTACAAATGATCATGATGTCGAAAGGCACAGTGTGAAATCATGCTGATTATGTGAACATGCTTGTTCACATAGTGGGCAGATGAGGGGAAAAAAACTGGACGAAAATAGAGAGAAGAGGAAGTATAAAGTCTTGACCATAAAACCTCTACATATAACATGACAAAAAAGAAAACCGGAAACTAACTTGACTCATCTAAAATCAAGAACTTTCTTTACTTACCAGGTTGTGTTATTGGAAAAGGCCCTCTCAACTTGTCCTCCAACAATAAGTACATTATTTTGAGAAAGAGGTTCCAGCAGCTTGTTAAGAAAGCACCCCCCTCCAGCTTTCCAGGTCTCGTAGTCAAACATTAGCACCACCTTTAGATCAGGGTTATTAATCAACCCTGAAAATCAAATACAGAGTATTCTGACATGAATTACCATCCAACCAAACCAATGTCTATATACACTACCATTCAAAAGTTTGGGGTTAGTAAGATGGAATGGCATGAGGTTGAGTAAATGACAGAATTTTCATTTTTGGGTGAACTGTCTCTTTAAATTGATCAAAAAGACGTTTTTAATATTACAAAAGATTCTATTTCAAATTCAAAATGTGCTTTTGAACTTTCTATTTTAAGAATCCGGAAACAAAAGTCTCACATTTTTCACAAAAATTGGAAGCGGCACAAATGTTTAATGAAGACAAAATCAGATTTCTGAAGGATCAAGTGACACTGAAGTCTGGAGTAATAGCTGCTGAAAATTCTGCTTTGCCATCACAGGAATAAACGGAGGTTAAAGCAAAAAAAAAAAACTTTTGACTGAATTTTTCCTCTGCCAAACCCCATTCCACAGCCATACCTGTCACACGCCCAGTTTAAGAGCAGTTTTCTTCTTCTAGTAATTAGGAGCGCTTGTCCTCCTAATTTAAAAAATTTAGGAGCACCTTCTGATCAATAATGAAAAATTCTGATCAAAAATTATCCTTCCTAATACGAGGTGATACTTGACTCAAAGTGATTTACAGGGGCATTTTCTTTTTACTTTTGTAATGGCATTTTTCTAATTTTATTAAAAGTATGCAGTGAAACACTACACTAGGATTTTTTCCAGCTGTGGTGGCAGGACTATTTCCCATGGACCACGCCCCCTCCCCACCAAAGAATCAGGTGCACTCAGAACTGAATTTATTTTTAACTAGAAAAAGACAAGTAAATAGTAAATAAGAAAATAAGAACAAATAAATTAATGACAATCAATAGCACAAACAAAAACAATAAGATACAAATGAAATTAGCAGTACTTTACTTTTTTCAGTTAGGTCTAACTATAATCTATTCAACTGTAAAATAACACTGGTTAGTCTTCACTGTATAATGGAGGTGTATTTAGGCTGCTGTCTCTTTAAGACCTCATGCACGGATCTAATATACTGTTACACAGGACTCTACACTTAGCTTTCTTTTTAGGAGTGCTTGTCCTCCTAATTTAAAAAAAAATTAGGAGCAACTTCTGATCAATAATCAAAAATTCTGATAAAAAAATTTGCCTTCCTAAAACGAGGAGATATTTGACTCCTTAAAGTGATTTACAGGGGCATTTATGTTTTACCTTTGTATTGGCATTTTTCTAATTTTATTAAAAGTATGTCATCATTATGTCAAATTCAAAAACGTATGTTTATAAGCTTTATAAAAAGTCTAATTAAAACAATATATTAAGAAGTAGAATAAGACAAATAAGTTACCAATCATATGAAATTAGTATTAATAAAAAATTAATTTGTACTACAGAGGTGGCACAGAAGAACACAAAAGTGGCTTGTAGCCTAGGTACATTTTCAGACGTTTAATGAGGCTCAGAGGTGGCATGAGTGCATTTAAATTCATGTTGAGATTGTTTTAAATATAACATTTTGAATATAGAAATATTAAATGATTTAAATAACTGAAATTATACATTAAAAATGAAATTAAAACCACCAGTAGGTGGCGGCAAGTCACTGATTTTATCACTAAATCATTCATTCAATTGATTCTTTTGAGCGGCTGATTCATTCAGTCTATATGAATGGCTAATTGAATCATTGACTCACTAGATTCGTTTACAAACGCACTTTCATTCATGAATGAAACACCGCTGTGTTTGCTTGGAGATGCACAGCGGCTGAGCTGTGACTTTATTTGGAACTATTTCCCTTGATGAAATAGAGTAAAATCAGGCAGTAGTGTTTTAGTTAGTCAACGTAAGTCACTTAAAGGGGTCATATGATGCTTTTTTAAACATCATTATTTGGTGTATTTGGTGTAACAGAATATGTTGACATGCTTCTCTCACACACATGCGCGCGCGCGCATACACACACACACACACACACGATGCGCAAAACACCGCATTTGAACAGTCAATAGCAAATACTTAAACTAATA